ACACACACACACACACACACACACACAATTTCCCAATCCATTTAATTCCACATACAATCAGATCTCTGCTCCAGTTCAAAAACTGCATTTTAATAAAATGATGAATAGGGAAAAAACATGTTGGAATCATCTGTCTGGAGAAGATGCTTAGCTTTCATTTGCCAGCATCAATGAGGGAGATGAGTTTGTACAGGCATTCAGCAATACTCTGGATTTCTTTAGTTTGCAAAACAGTTTTCAGCCCCTACCAACCACCCTGTCAATACTCACATGCCTGCAGAAATCCCTGGGACCAGAGGTAATAACCCTAGGCTCTTGCCTCAGCACTGGCAAGCTATCAGGATGACTTCCAGATGGAATGAGTGCAGCTTGGGGATCAAAAACTTTAGTGGTACTTTGCTCGGTCTCTTTGGGGGAATTACTGTCTTGTGCTTCATGTCCTGGACAGGGAAAAGTATCTTCAGCAGATGAGGAAAACGGAGACTCCACTGCACTTTGTGTGTCTTTCTGACTCTCAGGAGAAGTGCCTGACAAGCTGTGCTCCTGATACAGAAGTGTCCGCAGCTTTTCATCCAGAGTTTTGATGTTGTTGTCAGCAAAATCCATCTTAGGGGGACCCTCACTGTCTGACTCCAGAATGGATGCAAAGAGAACACCTTCCTGGCTTGGAGTCTGCACCAAAGCAGTTGCTTGCTCAGCATTTATTAAATGTTCTGCTTCCTCAGTGACCAAAGTGTGACAAGCGGCTGGTTTGGACCCAAAGGCTTCTGTGGACAAACTCAACTCATTCACAATAGATGCTGGATGAGGTACATATGAAGACAGGGGAGCTCCATTAGACTGAGTCTCTGCTGGCAAAGGGTCCAGCCAAGCCTCAGAATCATAAGTAGTAACATCACTGTTGTCACCTGTAGAGACAGATGGTAATTTATCCGTGCTGCCTTCTGCTTCATGAGAAAGAGCTGAATGTTCAGGTTCCAAAATTTGGGGTTCAGATATCACGCTGTCACTTGTCAACTCCTCTGAGCTGAAAGAAGGGCTAGGCCTATGTTGGTTACTAAGATTGTCCACAACCTGTGGACAATCTTTGGGGCTCTCTTCTTTGGTACTTTCTTTTATATGGTCTGTAACAGAACAAAAGAACAATTGAGATTGACAAAATAAAACTCCAGAAAAAAGCATGTTATTCACAACACTTTAAAAGCCAGTATCCATGCTGATTATTACTATAGATAGTCCTCAACTTATGACCACAACAGGGACTGGAAAATTTGTTAAGCAGTGTGGTCATTAAGCGAGGCATCATGTGACTGCACTGGATTTTATGACATTTTTTACAGCGGTTATTAAGCAAATCACATGGTTCTCCATTGATTTTGCTTGTCAGAAGACAACTGGGAAGGTCGCAAATGGCAATTACGTGACCCCAGGATGCTGCAACTGTCATAAATACATGCCAGATGCCAAGTACCCAAACTTGATCACATGACCGCAGGGATGCTGCAACTATCGTAAATGCAAGAACTGGTTGTAAGTCACTTTTTTCTGTGCCATTGTAACTTTGAACTGCCTTTTCTAAAACATTACATTTCACAGTTGGGATAGTTCTTTAAAAATTCATATGACCAAGGAGGAGATGGTTTTCAAAATCCAGATACCAATTAGAAGGTTGTGCTTGCCAATAGTTTACATATGCAGAGTTGTTGGAAAGATTTAAATTAGATAAAAGAAGTTATGAATTTACCACTGAGAAAACTGAGTTGGAATATGCTTTGTGTA